CCACCCCGTTCAACATTCCGGGAATTCCACCCCGTTCAACATTCCGGGAATTCCGACCCCGGGAATTCCCACCTCCGATCTGCAGCTCGGGGCAGCCCATCCTCCTCAGCTGGGTGCTCACCGACTCCATCTCCTCCACCAGGGGCACCAGGATGGTGTCGTTGATCCACTGCGTGAGAAACACAAACCCAGAGTCGCTCGATTCCCGGTCAGAATTTATCATCAGGATGGGATCTACATTTGATATTGTACCCATGGAAACCTCTTCAACCTGAAGGTCCACACCAAGACCCCAAACCATCTTGTCTGGGAGCTGCTCTGTGCTGATGACGCCGCCCTTGTTGCCCACACAGAAGCAGCTCTGCAGCGTTTAACATCCTGCTGTGCTGAGGCTGCTGAGCTCTTTGGGCTGGAAGTCAGCTTGAAGAAGACACAGGTCCTCCATCAACCTGCACCTCAGAGAGTCCCCCATCATCCCCATATCACCATTGGTGAATCAGAGCTCAAATCAGCCCAGCAGTTTAATTACCCAGGCAGCCTCATCTCCTCGGATGGTGAGATTGATGGGGAGAGAGACAACAGGTTGGCAAAGGCATTGAGAGCTTTGGGAAAACTCCATAAAAGAGTTTGGGGTAATAAACACTTGAAGAAAAGCACCAAGATGAGTGTTTACAGAGCCATTGTGCTGTCTGCTCTCTTATATGGATCTGAATCATGGGTCATCTACCACCACCACCTGCATCTCCTCGAACGCTTCCATCAACGCTGCCTCCGTACAATCCTAAACATCCACTGGGTAGATTATGGGACCAATCCATCTGTTCTAGAGCAAGCAGCAGTCACAAGTATTGAGGCCATGTTGATGTGTGGCACTAAACCTGCATTATATGGGAAAACTGTGGTTTAAACAGGTTTTAAAATGGCTTTTGGTGGTCCTCTTTGCAAACACATGCTTCTTCTTCCCAGCACCCCCCTGTGTTATCCATGCAGGAATGTCCTGGGAAGGTGTCCTGAGGTGTTTCCCTGTTGGCCTTTGTTAACTCCTTCCTGTGATTGGGTGTTCCTGTAAGCCCCTTGAGACTTCTAATTGGTTACTCTGTGAATCCCCCTAAACCCTATAAATGTAACATCCCCCACAATAAACTCTCTCTTGCCTCCTCTCCACGCCCGGTGTCCTGTGTCCTGTGTCTCCCTGCCGGCCATGGGGCCACGTGCAGGGGGGCAGGGGGGAGCACCTCTCCCCTCCAGGCTCAGGACCTGAAAAAAACCCTGAGAAACCCCTGGAGTTTCCCTTTCCCCATCCCTCAAAGCGTCGCAATCGTTCTTCAGATGGAAACGGAACTAGAACTGGGCCAGCCCCACGCCGTGGGTGGGGAAAGGGATCCAGATTGCTGAGAACACAGCTGTGCTGGGCAGGGCACGTCTCCAGGATGAAGGACCAACACCTCCTCCCTAAGATCCTGCTTTATGGGGAACTCACCACCGGCTGCTGCAAGAGAGGAGCCCCAAAGAGGAGATACAAGGACTGCCTGAAACAACATCTCAGCCTTGGCCATACTGATCACCAGAACTGGTCTACTCTGGTCTCCAACTGGGAGGTCTGGAGACACCCCATCTATAACGCTGCTGATGCCTTTGAGAACGCAGCAGGATCACCCCTGAGGAGAAAAGGTAACACAGGAAGAACCGTGTCCTGCAGAATTTACCACCTAAGGAGTCTTTCTGCTGTGCCTTTTGCAATGGGATATGTCTGTCTCATATTGGCCTCATAAGCCACCAGGGTGCCTGTAACAAATGTGGGTAGAGCCCTTCCCAAATCTTCGTTCACAAAGCCCGGCCAGGATGATGATTCCCAACTAGTTCATGAATATTCATTAGACATGAGCATTGCACATTATTAAGTCATACATTCAACAGATGTTTTTTTTTTCTTAGACAAGAATATTATCTATAAGTATCTATAATATACTGTCAAGTCAGACATTCAGCAGATGTTTGCTTGTTATCTGTATAAAGTTATAAATTTTTAAGAAAGGTGCTATTATCCAGCTAACTAAACAAAATCCCTTCACTATAAATCTTACACAAGGTAAAAGGGAGGTAACTTGTTTTATCTCTTTACAGGGGCCCAATTAAGTTTTATGATTTGTTTTTCTTTTCTCTCTCCAGGTCATTATTGACCTTACAGGATTTTCTTTTAATTTAATCATTTTCTCAGTTTATCACAACTGGGGAAAAAGGGAAACATTCCAGGGCTCATTAATCCATCAGGAAAATGGAAAAATCTCAGGTCAAAACACCCACCCCACTGCCACCAGAGTCCCAGCTGAACACACCAACACTGGAATCATTTAATGATCAATCAAGAGCTTAAAGGATTCTTTAACACCCTCTGGAAGGGCAGAAATTCCAATATGAAGGAGTTGGGAAAAAAATTCTCTGCCAGTAAAGATTTCTGGACAAAAAGGGGGATTGGGAATCATGGCCCTCCAACCATAAAGATCATTTTTGGGGCCGCTCTGGTGGAGTTTTGGGTCTGCTTTGAGGGCTCCATTCCCTGTCCTGTTTGTCCCAGGAATTCAGGGAGATGACCAACACTTTGGCTGGGATTTGGCAGCCCATCCCAAGAGGAGAATTCCCTACTGCCCTTGTCTTTAAAGCCCTGGGAGGTGGGACTTACATTCCTGAACTTGGCTGTCCAGGAATCCATGTGATCCAGGAGCTGCCTGTTCATCGTCACCCGCGCCCAGACCTGTGGAAACATGGAAAAACTCCCGGAATACCCACACTTTTTTAGGGTCTGGGACAATTCCTGCCACTTCCAGAGGGATGGAAGCTGCTTAAACACCAGAGGATTTTCTCCTGCCACAGCTCCAACCCAAACCTTGGCACGAAACTGTGCTTTCCAAAGGCCTGTTTCTCCCTTTGGAGCGCTTTTCCTGCCGGATTTACCTCCTCTGCTGCCTGTTTGGAGCTCAGATCTGCCTCATCCTTGTGTGCTGATGGAGCCTGGGACCTGCAGGCCAGCTGGTACTGGAATTTCCTCAGGATCTGGGCGTGGTCTGCCATGGAGCGGCTGTAATTCCAGAAGGTTGGGCTGCTGGAAGGGGAGCTGGAGTCGGAACTCCCTGGAATGAGTCAATCATTAAGGTCACACACAATCACTGCCAATTAATCCTGGAAGTGACAGCACAGAGTGAAGGGATACACTGGAGTCACCCTGCAGAAACACTGGATTCAGCCTTGTATGGATTGGCCCTATCCAGGGAAAAAACTGCCTGGAGGGAGTTCATTCCCTTTTATTTCTATCTTGATTGTCCCCATTCAGGGTAAAAACTGCCTGGGGGTTGTTCATTCCCTTTGTCCTTGTCTTGGTTGTACCTATCCAAGACAAAAACTGCCTGGAGGCTGTTTATATCCTTTTATCCTTATCTGGATTGTCCCTATCCAGGACAAAAACTGCCTGGGGGTTGTTCATCCCCTTTATCCTTGTCTGGATTGTCCATATCCAGGACAAAAACTGTCTGGAGAGAGTTCATCCCCTTTATCCTTGTCTTGATTGTCCGTATCCAGGGTAAAAAATTCCCTTTATCCTTGTCTGGATTGTCCCTATCCAGGGTAAAAACTGCCTGGGGGTTGTTCATTCCCTTTATCCCTGTCTTGGTTGTTCCAATCCAGGACAAAAACTGCCTGGAGAGAGTTCATTCCCTTTATCCTTGTCTGGATTGTCCCTATCCAGAGTAAAAACTGCCTGGGGGTTGTTCATTCTCTTTATCCTTGTCTGGATTGTCCCTATCCAGGGCAAAAACTACCTGGAGGGAGTTCATCCCCTTTATCCTTGTTTTGATTGTTCCTACCGAGGGCAAAAACTGCCTGGGGGTTGTTCATCCCCTTTATCCTTGTCTTGATTATCCCTATCCAGGACAAAAACTGCCTGGAGAGAGTTCATTCCCTTTATCCTTGTCTGGATTGTCCATATCCAGGGTAAAAACTGCTTGGGGGTTGTTCATTCCCTTTATCCTTGTCTTGGTTGTTCCAATCCAGGACAAAAACTGCCTGGAGGGCGTTCATTCCCTTTATCCTTGTCTGGATTGTCCCTATCCAGGGTAAAAACTGCCTGGAGGGAGTTCATTCCCTTTATCCTTGTCTGGATTGTTACTATCCAGGATAAAAACTGCCTGGAGATAGTTTATATCCTTTTCTCCTTGTCTGGATTGTCCATATCCAGGATAAAAAATTCCTTTTATCCTTGTCTGGATTGTCCATATCAGAACAAAAACTGCCTGGAGGGAGTTCATCCTCTTGATCCTTAACTTGATTATCCCTATCCAGGACAAAAACTGCCTGGAGATAGTTTATATCCTTTTCTCCTTATCTGGATTGTCCCTATCCAAGACAAAAACTGCCTGGAGAGAGTTCATTCCCTTTATCCTTGTCTGGATTGTCCATATCCAGGACAAAAACTGCCTGGATTCACCCCCTCTGTCTGAAAGCACCCCCACCAAACACCCCTCTCATCAAGGTGAGCATCTTATCACTGCCAACAACCGCTACAGAGATCACGGATCATCTCACATTCCGAGCTTAGATCCAACCCAAAGGAATCCAAAGGGATAATCTGGAGGAAAGCTGAAGCTCCCAAGCCATGGAGATGTGCAGAAACCCTGGTGTTCCCCCATTCCTCAGCAGATGAAGCTGCTGAGCAGTTTGCCAAGCTCCCAGGGATTCCCACAAAATGCTGTTCACTGGAATTTTCCTCACCCACTCCCGAATAAAACCGACACCTTCCCATTCCCAAGCCGTTCCCGGGAAATCCCGGGCATTTACCCAGCTGCACTCTGTGCTGTTTCTCCTCCTCGTTCCTCAGGAAGGTGTCCAGGGATTTGACATCAGTTATGTAGTCATCCTTGTGGGTGTTGTTGTTGTAGAGGATGGGGGAGAACCGGTAGTGGGACCTTATCCCGCCGCCGTCCAGCGCTCCCGGGGAATAGGGGGATCCATTGGGAGAGTGGCCGAAGCTGGAAACCTTGGGGGGGAGAGGAAAAACCACCCCAATCCTGGTGGGATCGCTTTTGTTTTCCTGATGCCTTAAGATTCTTTCAGTTTTGTGGTTTTTCTAATTTTTATAAGCTTTACAAGTAGTTATATAAGCAGATTTTAGGAGCAGCAGCCCTTATTCCTCCACCCTTTAGCACAGGGAGTTTACACATTCCTCAACCCCTACATGCCCCATTCCATGCTCCCATATCAATATCCCCTGAATTCCAGTAGAAAATGTTTAGTCTCTCTTATTAAGAGCGGGCCTATTTTGTTTAAGGACATTTGTGCCTTGGCCTGAACCACAAAAGTCCAGTCAAGAACTGGGTGACCCTGTACCCTTTGTGCTCTGAAGAAGATGATGATGATGATGAAGAAAAGCCCCCAGCCCCAATTCCAAGGGGGTGGGATGAGGGTGGAAGCACTTGGGATTGGACAGACAATATTATAAATTGTAACACCTGTGTCTCTGTAATCTTATGCCTGGGCACAAATTAAACCCTTTCCTTATCTCCTCCTCGATTAAATTGCTTTGGAGTTGTTGTTTTTTTTCCCCTCAGCTCCTGCAGGCAACATTCCCAAGGATCAGGCTCATCAGGGGATGATGTTCACACAGATCCACAGAATGGTTTGGTTGGAAGGGACCTTAAAAGATCATCTTGTTCCAACCCCCCCTCCCATGCTACCTAAAACTCAAGTATCTCCCAAAAACCAAAGCAAGGGGAACTAATCCAATTTTATTTTAGAAGCAGGAAGGAGTGTCCTGCATCCCTGGGATGTTCTGGACGGAAACTGCTTAAATAACTTCATAAAGAATTATTAAATTTCTGCTGTTTCAGCTCAGCACACAAACTGTGCCTCCCAGGAGTTGGGAGGATACAGCTCTGGGGCAGGAATTTCACCCTTGTGTTGTTGGGGTCTGTCCCAGTTAGGACAGCTGGGACCAGTTCATCACTGGATGGGTGTAACCCAAAACTGGGTATTCTAGAGCCTTCCATGCCATTGCCCAGAAACTGTTGGCAAGGGACTGTTTGCACCCTCTGCCCAGAGCAGCCCTGACTCCTCAGGCTACAAACTGGGTGTTAAGAGGCCTGGGAGACAGGAGGGTGTTTTTGTCCTCACCCCATTGAGGAGTCCCCCACCCTGAGGGAGGCACTGGGCATTCCTGCCTGGAGAATATACAATCTTGGAGTTTTGGGACTTTTTTAACCACTTGTGGGATCCAGAGGGAGACTGCAGATCACCACTCTCAACTGGACTGCAACCACCACTCTCAACCAGACTGAGACCACCATTCTCAACCAGACTGAGACCACCACTCTCAACCAGACTGCAACCATCACTCTTGACCAGACTGCAGATCATTGCTCTCAAACAGGCTGCAACCACCATTCTTGACCAGACTGCAACCACCACTTTTCAACCAGACTGCAACCACCACTCTTCAACCAGACTGCAACCACCACTCTTGACCAGACTGCAACCACCACTCTTGACCAGACTGCAACCACCACTTTTCAACCAGACTGCAACCACCACACTCAACCAGACTGCAACCATCACTTTTCAACCAGACTGAGACCATCACTCTCGACCAGACTGCAACCACCACTCTCAACCAAACTGCAACCACCACTTTTCAACCAGACTGAGGCCACCACTCTCAACCAGACTGTGACCACCACTCTTGACCAGACTGCAACCATCACTTTTCAACCAGACTGAGACCATCACTCTCGACCACACTGCAACCACCACTCTCGACCACACTGCAACTACCACTCTTGACCAGACTGCAACCACCACACTCAACCAGACTGCAACCACCACTCTCAACCAGACTGCAACCACCACTCTCAACCAGACGGCACCAGCACTCTCACCAACAGCTTTTTCCCTCTCCTTTTCCTTTGGACTCAGGGGGCCCAACAAACACCACTCTGTTCCTGCCCCAGGGTGCTGGGTTATACATTTGGGCTTTGTGGGTTAAAACCAGTTGTTTGTATAATCATACTTACTGTATTATTTTATTAAACTGTTATTCTGACTTACAATCTCTCTTTGGGGTTGAGTTCATTTCCCCTGCTGGTTTACCTTTAAACCAGCACAGGGTCTTACCTTGCCGTAGGTGCTGCCGGGGGAGTAGGAGCCGGAGCCGGCGTGGGAAGGGCTGGACAGGGCCTGGAGCTGGGGGCTGAATCCACTCACACACCCCGAGGAGAACTTGGGGCTGGCGCTGGGGGAGCGGGAGGGGCTGTAGCTGAGCACACACTGCCCCTGGATCGGGGGGGACGGCGGCAGGGACAGCACCCGCTTGGCTGCTGCGTCCCGAGGGGGGGTGACCTGCACGGCTGAGGGGGGGACAGAGGGGTCAGCCCAGACCCTCCGACCTCTGAGCACACACAGCACCCCCCAGGCTGGCTCAGGGATGGAGGGAGGGCACAAGGGACACCAAAGGAAGGACACTGAGGGGCTGGAGCAGGGGCAGAGAAGAGCAGCGAGGCTGGGGAAGGGACTGGAGCACAAGTGCTGTGAGGAGAGGCTGAGGGAGCTGGGGGGGCTCAGCCTGGAGAGGAGGAGGCTCAGGGGAGACCTCCTCACTCTCTGCAACTCCCTGACAGGAGGGGGGAGCCGGGGGGGTTTGGTCTCTTTTCCCAGGCAACCATCAGCAAGACAAGAGGGCTCGGTCTTCAGCTGTGCCAGGGGAGGTTTAGGTTGGACATCAGGAAGAATTTCTTTGCAGAGAGGGTGCTCAGCCATTGGAATGGGCTGCCCAGGGAAGTGGGGGATTCTCCATCCCTGGAGGTGTTTAAGGACAGACTGGATGTGGCATCAGTGCCATGGGCTGGGAACCACGGCGGGGTTGGATCAAGGGTTGGGCTGGATGATCTCAGAGGTCCCTTCCAACCCAGCTGATTCTGGGATTCTGTGATGAAATCTAAAATCAGGGAATATTTTGAGCCAGAAGGGACCCACCAGGACCCCCAAGCCCAACTCCTGTCCCTGTACAGACACCCCCAAAATTCCAGTTCAGTTCACAGCCTGTGTCAGAGGAGGGAATCTAAAATCAGGGAATATTTGGAGATGAGG